CAGTCTCGGAGAGCTGTGCCACGCCGCCGGGATTTAGCAGGAGCCGCTGTGAGAACGTGATTGACCGGGCAGCGGCTGGGGAGGAGGGCAGCGCAGGGCTCCCCGGCTGCCGGGCTCCGTGCTGGCTGGGTAACCCACCACCCTGCCTCCCACGGGCAGCGCGAAAGCGAAGGCGGGGAGAAGGGGGAGGCTGTCGCTGGGGCGAGTGTCAGCCTCACGGGCGGGGAGCTTGAAGGGACTGTAGCTCTTCAGGAGGCACTCAACATTTTGTGGGATTAGTGGGCTGAGATAAATGGCCACAAGACCGCAAGCAGTGGTCTTGCTGTAACTGTAAATTCGGACTTTTTGATGCCTGTTATAGAAGTGCTAGTTATTTTGTTTGGGAAATCTGCCAAGAAAAATGAAAAGGAAAGTTTTGCTTTCTCTCTGGGTTTAGAAATTCCCTCTCTCTCTCTCCTTCCCCCCATTTTGATATCCTTTTCTATCAACACCGGTTGATTTTTTTTCTTCTTTTTGGTACCAAAGGACAACTTTCCTAGTGTTTGACTGTTGATAATCATAACATTACAAAAAGCTACAGGCATATATAGAATTTTACAAACACTTACGTACAGTAGATGGATTGAGCAGTATGTACCTGATGCCAATACATACCTGGTATGATTGATGCCATAGATTTTTATAACTCCGACTCCTGACATACATGAACGTCTAGTAAAACTGTATTCATAACAACAAAAGCTTATTGTGTCAAGCTTATTGACACATTTACTCCAAAGAAACTATTTTCTTTCACCAGTGAGTGAAAAATTACGTTAGAGTTTGCATTCAACATCTATTTCATCCCAGCAAAGCACTTAAGCACATGCTTAACTTTAGGGACTACTGGGCATAAACAAGAGTTGGAGAAAAGTGACCATAAATACATGTTTAAATGCTTTGCTGTAAGGCATAGAGGCTTGCAGGGTCAAATCTCTCTCATGTGTTGTTCCATTTTAGTGCACAATTTACTCCCAGGCTATTTAAATGGAGACTATACTTCCTTATTAGTACACTAGATATGCCTAGGCAGAAATACGGTTACAATTTCATAACCTAGAAACAGAGTTGAACTTCTAGCATTTATGTAAGATTGTAGAATAAATATCCTATAGCAGGGAGTCTAAGCAAAACACTCTATTCCTTTCTGCATAGCCTGAGGTACAGAGTACTAGCAGTTTCACAGCTGCCATTTTAGAGACAGCTTCTTCTAGCCTAATTAGCATTTATGGATCTTCAAGCAGCAATTAAAAAAAAAACTGCCTGGGTTTTATTGGTTTATAAATAATTCTAAGGCATGCTTTACTATTGTTTGTGGGACACCAGAGTGAAAAATGTGTACAGTTCAAATGCAAATATTGATCTAATTTCTTGCATTGTAGGATAATTAAGCTACAGAGAATATTTAAATAGATAAATAGTGAATCAGAACATTCCGTCGGTGGGAAAAGACATGTTTATGCTAATGCTGTCCCCACTTTTTAAAGGTTTCTCCTAGGAACACAGTCTGCTTTCATTTTTTAGCAAGGAATGTTAAAGAAATTGTGTTTTATCGCAGGAAAGGGGCTACTGTCATGTAATGCGAACCAAGTTACTACAGGCATAAGGGAATATTGCACACATAAAATGTAACGAGGACAGCCAGCCATATAAATTACTATAAAAAGGAAACTTTACTACCTTTCTCACAGTTATGATGCCAACTTGGTAATTAGGATCAGTGTTAATATCAAAGACATCCAGTCCATCCCCATCCACAAGGCTGTATTTCATCTCTGCGTTAATGCCTTCGTCCAGGTCTTTCGCAACCACGCGGCCCACAGTGGAGCTGACAGGAGCGGACTCCAGCACACTCATCTGATAATGCTCTGGCACAAGCAGCAGAGAGAGAGAGGGGAGCAAAAAAACAAAAAAACAATGCAAAGAGTAGATCAGGGCAGGCCACAATATTGCATAGCCTGCAGGGAATCCCTAGTACCTTTCCCAAAGCTGCAACAGCAGTGTGATTTCCTTTAAAAAGCCACAGCTAGACTGAATTGCCTGGGAAACTTTTATTTAGGTGTCTGTCATATCAACAGGTTTGTTCAACGGGTTCTTTTCAAAACAGCAATATACCTGAAAATGGGAACTTCAATTAGAAAAATAGGGCAATTAACACCGGTGCTGTTGCAGTCATGATATAAAGCAGGATATGAAACAGATTTAATAGGACAGGCATACTTTTTTCGATCAGCTTGTACAGCAGGAATAAACACACAAGTTTCGAGCACCACAAATCCTTTCTCAAGTCCGTATAAACTTCTTTTCCATCCTGAACAAGGCTTTGAGGGCTCAGAAGCTTGCCTGTTTCTTCCAAATTTACCAGTTACTTTATTAAAATATACTACCTCTCCCTACAAATCCTGTCTTGAGCACATTTGGTGCATCACTAATTTGCTTAGCAGCAAGCCTGGGGAAAGAGAGTGCTGCTATTTTAAAAACGTGTTTTAAAAATATAAATGTTGTATCTAAAATACTTCTCTGCCATCATACTTTATGTTCAAACCTTCCTTGCCGCACTCTCTCTGTTAACTCCACCAATTGTTGAGCTTTACAAGGTAGAATAACACCAAGGGTGGGGTTTGATCTAGTCTCACTTTTCTTAATCAAGAGTTTGATATCAAACAGTTAAAATTCATGCCACTTTCAAAACAGGATAGGTAATGGTGCGTTCAACAAGTTGCTCTGACAGAAGAAGAAAAAAAAGTGCTTCTTGCTGCTCTTAGTGGAGTGCTTTGATTTAGCAGTGCAACATGCAGAAACATATGGAGAAGAAGAATAGCAACAAAAAGAAGTTTTCATTTCTCAGCTAGATGAGAAAAATGGCAAAACCAAAACAGCTTGAGACTGATCTACACTACCAAAAGAATCAGCTTTCTTTAAAAAAAAACCAAGTAGATCCCTTGAAAGATTTAGTTCAATCAAACCTGAACTGAAAAATATCTTTCAAATTTTTAACAGTAATATAGAATTATGTAGGTAAATTTGCTCTAAGAGAATTTTAAAAAGAAAGAGCAAAATACTGCAAATCTTGCTTTGAGATTTTACTTCTGTAAATACAAAGTAACATTTCTGATAAGAGCGGAGTTGCCTTTTTTTTGCATTCCATTAACTGTGGCTGTTACATATCTTAGGGTTTAACTGTATATTGCCAAGGTTTAGATGAACCTTTACTGGAAAGCAGCCTGTACGACAACGCGCTCTACACTGGCAGCACAGCTACCAGACGCTCCCCTGCAGTGGCCTGGCTGGAGTGTTGAATGAATTATCTTTCAACTTCCAGCACCGCCACATGTCCCTGATTTGACAGACATCCTTTCGGAGATAGAGTGAAAAGAGAATCAGGGCAGCAATTAGCAGCCAAAGGCAATGGCCATGAGCAGTCTAGGACCACAAAAGATGTCCTTCTTTCCTTTTTCTGTAAATTATTTTCCCACCCTTTAAAAAAAGTATTGGTTTTGATGATTTTGGAGGTCAGAAACCTCTTCTGAAAGACAAGCTGGTGAATGCTCCATTTTGACATTTTCGGAAGGAAGGAAAGTAAGTTCCTTCTTCGATATGAAATTCTGCCCATCTCTAATTGTCACTGTCCTGATTTTGAAAATGGCTGTAATGAGAGCAAACAGCAGCCGTGTAACTCAGCCACCCCTTTTCGCCCGTCCTGACGCAGCGGGTACTCACTCTGTGGAAATCTGGGTGGATTATCATTGACATCAGAGAGAGTGATGTTGACTGTGGTTGTTCCAGCTAATCCTCCCAGCTGTCCACCCATATCCTTGGCCTGGATAATCACTTCATAATATTCTTTTGCTTCTCTGTCCATGTTCATTAGAGCTGTCCTAATTAAGCCTGAGATTGAAGGGGAAAAGGGGTTTCAGGAACAAAAGAAACAGCAGTTAAAGAGTATACAAACAAGGTGGGATGCTCTTGCTCTTGCATCGTGCTCCCTATGTCAAGAATAAGACCAGACTCTGCATTCAGTCTCACCTTTTCTGGCAGAGTAAAACTCACCCAAATTAAATCTAGGTTAACAGAAGGTGTGAATTTTAAAGAAGCCCAGTTAAAATGCATCAGCTGTGGGGCAGGCTGTCTGTTCAAAATTAAAATGTTGTCTTCCAGGGAAGACGGAAAAGCATTTCGGGTACAGAGTGCGCTATGCTGAATTAAGGCCCTGCTCAGGCTAAATACGTCTTCACAAAAGGTGGAAGTGATGTGATTAGTTAAAAGAGAGAGAGAGATATATATATAAAAGATACATAAAAAAGATATATATAAAAAAGATATATCAAGTTTTCCAGAGTGTCCCTACACACGCAGTCCTGGAGGCAACCTGACATAAACCCATTTGCCCGGGTCCTTCGGGACCCACGCTGGGGCCCACGGGAGCAGAATTTGGGGAGATACCGCTGGTTCGGGCAGGTCGCTCCTGCAGCGGGGAGGGGCGGCGGGAGGCGGCAGGTCACCCTGCTCCCCCCAGCCCGCAGAGCCTCCCTTTCCGTCGGGGTAACACTA